GTTCTTTGTTGACACAAGAAAATTAAGCAAAAATATCGAGCCACTGTGCAAGTAAGTTGTGAAGAAGGTGATAGAAGTGACAGGAAAGGACTGATCAGAACGACAGCTAAAGATAGATCGCTGTCGACAGAACTGTTATGTTGCTTGAAAGGGAAGGTGAGCGTCAAGACACGATAGGAAAAGGGGCTGTTGGATTTTGACCCTAGTAAGTCAATATTTGGAAATGAAAAGTCATATTTATGAAACAGGCGAGAGGGGGAGTGGTGGACATACGAACGAGGGTGAGTAGCTGGTGGAACGCTCCCAAATTCAGGTAAATCACCGGGTCCCAAGTGATTGTCCAACCGTATTAGCCCAGTATCAAGAAATGAATGGCTGCGTGATGAGGCATTGCAGTTGTTACAGCGGAAGAGTAAACAACTCGCAAACCAATCAACCTCCACCAACACAGCTCAAAATAACTCCAGTAGTAGGAACATGGGAACCGGACTACTGGTTACTTCACTTATTTGTGCCTCATAGAGGTAAAAATTGTATGAATAGACGTATGGCAAGGGCGAGGTCTTTATGAGCACGACCATTGAAAATTGCCTTTTGCTTCTCCATTAAAAAAATCCTACAAACATCTAATTGTAAGTGGGAAACCAGAGTAGTTGGTAAGGCTATATTGAACTACACATGAATGGGGATTGTCTACTAGAGATTCACTGAGATTTCCATTTTAAATTCACTGAAATACTAGGCCGAAAATTCTCTTTTCAGTTGTTCAACGCAATTTTTCTCCAAGACCCCATATTTCCATGGTCCTCTGTTCCTGTGTTTTCAAGCGAAGGCTCGGAGAGAAGTCAGAGTCTCCGCGCTCCTCAATACGGGCGCCTTTTTCTGACAGCAGTTGTTGTTTTCCTCTTTCCTCATTAGCTAACTTCAAAACGAAGTGGATGAGGGTGAGGCGAAGTAAGCAATCAACTTGGAAAGCTTGTCATGAATATTCAGGAATAAAAATTAAGCAATTAAGATTGAGTTAACGCTATTGGAATCATAATTTCGCGCTACATTTGTGTTGTTGCTTGTTTTATTGCCAGTGGAGCCTACGTGAAATGCGGAGCAGGTTCTTCCAAGCACTCAGTAATGATGAGCAAATGAGTCCAGTCCGTAGCTGGGTATGATTCTCGAGTAAGAGGGTTTGGGACCTCCTGCTTGTAAAGGTACTTCCTCATTTAACTAAAGCGGGGTCATGAGTCATTTGAAAGTTTCTATGATGAAAAATGAGAACACAGCGTAGTTAATGGCATGCAGTGTTGGGTCGTAGTGCGAATTTTCCCCGCAAGCGCGAATACGATGCAGAATGAAAATTTTGTGACAGTTGTCCCACAACTGCCTCGCCGCGCGCGGAAAATTCGCACCTTCCCCTTCATGGTGCCTACCCGTGCTCTACAGACAAAGACTTAAGATGACATTCAAATCATTGAAAATTCATTGAAAAACAATTTGATGCATGCATACTATTGTTACCTCCACGATTTTGTTCAGAAAGTAGATCTGCAGTTTTGGAGGCGAGACCGGAGATCAGCATCTGAAAATATTAACACCCTTTTCACTACCAACTACAGCTTTTTGAAAGTTTTGCCTTGGCCGGTAGAAGCAAGCATAGTAAAGCTTGAGGACAGGAAAGCCGCGCCAAGTATCTGTACACATTGGTTTCAGAAACAAATGGCTTTCATCTTACCTAATGTCCGAAATCCTTATTAAGGCCCCAATTGGAGTTTTTGATAGAAAAGGGGTTAGTCCAATTTATCGCACGTGTAAGCCTGATTGTGAGCGTCAAAAATTCAAGATTTCTTTAAGCGACTTTCTTGAGGAGGGTGTTTTCTATTTTGAATTTAAGTAGAGTCTGACTTCTGTGGTGTTCATTGGAGTGCTGGTGATGGTGAATGAACGAGGTTTTGTACTTATTCTTTGAATATCTTCTTTGAAAAGGCTGGTCATTCTCTTGCTCCTCTATCCCACTCGCTTACAACGAAGTGTACTTTTAGGTGAGAAGGTATACGCCTCCATCTGTGCATGCAAAGGGCGGTAGGCTATGAACTTTAAAATGGAATGTACTCGATGCAGTTTGCACACAATCCTGTGGGCAGTTTTATTAGAGGTCAGCAAAAAGTACTATGAATTGGAATAAAATTCTGAGAGTTGAATCGGAGAGATTCAGAGAGAGTTCTGCTATTTTGAGAGTTTCTGCAAAAAGCAGGCAGCTGCAAATAGCGAGAGATGTTGTTTACTAGGGAGCGAGAGGCGGTGAATAGTTGTTTATGAAAAGCGGGGCTCGCTCATGGAATCAGAAACCGACGATGCGTTCCGTGGTTGTTGATCGGTGATCCCTTACAATTAACAAAGAACCGCATGTTGTGTTTGCAATGGGAACCCTTCTCCATCGAATAGATGAGGGTAACCCCAAACTGAAATCAAACAGGGAAATTTAGTGCGATTTAATTCTGTACCTACCGCTGAGTTGTAGGTACGGAATTTGAAGTGCCCTTAAACGCCGGCTCGATAGGGAACGTGGAAAAAGTACTCGTACGTTTTTTTTCTGGAAAAAAGTTTCCTTTTTGAAAAGGGTTCGTCTCCATCGAGTCAAACGATTATGAAGGGACGACCTGGCCTCATTTGACTCGACGGAGACGCGCCATGCATCTGTTCGGATGTAGGCACACAAACGCAAGTGGAGCCCACAGATTAATTCAAAATTTCGAGTAGAATGAATAGTAACGCATTTATGTAATATATTTTAAACGGTAATGCTTGCGGGGGACAATCCAATCCTGATCCCTTCTCATATCTTCGGCTTCCACCCAAGTCGATCTGGGGCTTGATCGAATGAAGTGAAATTGATCCAGTAAAGTCTTGAAAGATCTTGTTATTAGGTGTAGATGTTAAGGGATTAAGGTACCCATACCATGCCCCCTGAACCGATTCTTGGTCTTTCCAAGAAGTTATATTGTGCTAAACTACATTATTTCCTTTTTTTTCCATCCTCAAGTAGACATAGTTTTACAAAATGTCAATAGAGGGTTCTACTGTGAGCCTCAGAGTAAAAGACAACTGCACAAATGCGAGGTCAACCTTCGGTCAGAGCTTTTCAAAATCTCGCCTCACTGCACGAATTGGTCACTCTGAGCTCTTAGAGGACTTCTTTTTTGGAAAAAAAAATTGTGTCTGAAGGAAGGTTTAAAACCATCCGCGATCATGACTGAGCTGGTGTCTAAGAAACAAGAAACCAGAAAGCGAGAAAACGGCGAGAGCGAGGGGTCAAAGAGGGAGTATGAGTAGCAAGTAAAAGTTGGAAATGTGAGGCGGCTGAGGAAGATTCCCAGCTGGAACTGCCAGTTAGAGAGCGTAGTAGTAAATGAATAAATAGGTGGGTTCAACAAAAACCCAAGGAAAACGTCATTTGGACAGCAAAATCGAGTTTTTACAGCAGTTAAGCAATTGTAGCATACTTCAAAATCATTTGAAGAGGAGTGAGCGATAATCATAGACCGTGAGCGATTGAGGCAGTTCATTTTGAAAAAAAACATTCTTTGATGACGAGTATTCATGCCATTCCGAGGTGATGTTTACGGTTGGCTGCAACGAAATTGTCTCATCAACTGAATAAACAACTAACAGACCACTAATCAACCGCGCTCTACTAAACAAACGAACAAAAAATAAAATGAACAGTGTAATATATATATATCGGGCATGCACAGCTTATCGAACTCTTTAGGCTGCAGGATGGGAAGGGTGTTCGGACGAGATTTCAGTCGTTGGTTGTGTAAAGAGCTGGCTGGTTACAGCCAGCCAAAAGCGGTTGAAATCGCGTTCCACTGCCGCCATGGCTTACGGCTAGTTGCATGAATTTTAAAGGTGTACGCTCTGTCGTGAATGGCGCAACCTCTACAACGCCCTTGAAACTCGTCCGCTTCAAGGTGGTAATCGCAAAGTCCCTCTTCGAGGCCTTATTGCACCCTATATTTCGTCAATATAGTTGTGAGATCCAGCTCATGCGCAGGCCAATGTTTCTACTTTCCCATCAATGACTGGCTCAGTGAACTATTTTGCTTCGAGTTCACTGTATCCAACCACTCTCTATAGTTTGTTTCCAATTTCTCTCCCATCACTGATCAGTATTGGGTAACCTATCAGGTTGCATTTTTCGTCCAACATCATTGAAATGATGAGGACGGTTCATTATGGCCACTACCGGAACTCTCCAGTGGTCTTGTGTACACAAGACGCGGCGACGACCACGACGGAAGTCTCAAACTCGTAAAAAGTCGTATGTTTTGAACATTTTTTGCAATACGTTTTGTTCGTTACCATGCCCTCGACCTTTCTGAGGGCGTGGGAGTTAGCAGATTGTGAATCTTTGGGTGGGTAGGATGTCAGCGGCGGCCAGACCAGGTCAAGAACCCCATTTTATCGAAGAGTTGTATAGATATAATGTAAAGGCACGTAATCCCTATAGATTGTTATGGATTGTTCGCTTGGCTAGATGCAAGGCTGCGCCAATTCTTCGAAAAGCTTTAGCGCTCGCGCTCAGAGTTCGTGTCTCTTGCGGTATCACAGTCTCACAGAGGGAGCGGCACTATCAGCCGTGTTAGGCTGCTTCAAAACTATGAGTTCTATTCATCTTCTTAATGCTGCTGCCATTTGATTCTACACATCGACGCAGACCGCTCCGCTAGTGAACGTCCGCCGAAATGGGTGGCGATGTTGCGCGCGTGAAATCGATACTCATTCTCGTATCGATGTGCATATTGAGCAGTTCATTACTCATCGCTCAGAGTTCGAGAACGAGAGGTTCATTGTGAGAGATATATGCGACTGAACCAGTCAATACGAAATTCTGTCCAAGGCTTTCCCAAAAATTTCATTTTTTAATTTTGTCGTTATTTCAAAGAGCAACTCGAACAACGCCAAAGGACAAATTTCCATATTTCTTTTACAGATTTGGAGTCCCAATGTTTGGCATCAAAAAACTGGCGTATCAGTTTGGCAGAGCTGTCGGATACACAGATCCGACAGCGCTCCCACAGCAGGTTCAGGCTCGTTGTCAGGATTGCGAAGGCTATAGGGTACGGCTGACAAGCTACACAGTGTAGTATTCCAGTGACCCTTGCCTCTTCAGGAGGCACTGGTCGAGGCTTGTGAAGCCATGCTACAAATCATGCAAGGCAATCCTGCTTTTACACCACCAGTGAATTCCGCACAAGTAAGTTCTTGGAATTATGTGGAGCCGAGGTGGAAGAGACGCCTCCTCCAGCCGCTGTTGAGTCTTTCGCAAAAGTTTAGAGGATATTTTGTTAGATTTTTTTCATTGAAAAATGTTTACCATTGCAGCACTGTGAATGCCCCAAAGGCACAGCACCAAGCGAAATGTTTGACAAAAGCCTGGAGAGCGTGAAAGGCTTCTGGCATGACGAGGAGGTAAGAACAGGGCTGCAAACTCTTGAAAATCTCTGGAAAGTCTTTCTCGTGTTTATTGACAGTTTTGAGTTTACTGTTCTCCACATGTTTATTATAAATAAAGCTCAAAACCCTAAATAAAGGAATCTACCGAAATTTCACTTTCCTGAGCAAGGCTCTTCCTAAAGGGCTAACCCGAATTAATCTTTTCGACAGAACTGTACATTAAATTTCCGTGGGGACCACTGTAGGAACATCGTCTCTGCTCCATATTCTCATCAAAGACCCAAGCAGAAGCTCTCCACTCTTCATCATTCTCATATACTCAAATAGATGCCCATCTATATTAATGTTGCATATTATGTATACACCAGTCGGGTCGCCCGGCTTAGGCCCGGCCTCATTCTTCACTTTTGGTCAAAAGATGTAGTTAGGGAAAGCATCACTTCTATCCAATATTGAGGGTTAGAGGGTCGCGAAGGGGTAGTGGTTGTCCATACCTGTGCTTAGAGACAATGCCAGGCGTAGGATACCGTTTTTACCCAAGCCTCAAGAAGGGAGGAGCGCGGAGGAGCGCGGAGGTGAGGGTGAAATGACTACATCGTGAAAAAGCTAGGATTGGGCATGAGTTGAGTATTCAATCGACTCACCCACTACTTTCTGCTACTTTCCTCCTGATGCTTAGGTCAAAAAACTGTATATTCACGGCTAAGGAAGGTTCCTGAACACATTTATGAGCTAACCTCCTCATATGTGCTATAGCGCTCAATATTGAAAGAAGAGGAGGTCTTCCAATTACATCATCATCTTCGACATGTTCTGATGTACTCCTGTTCCTAAGTATCTTGTGGATGATTCCCACCATATTCGATCTTTTCCCCATTCCACGTAGAAGACATTTTCCACGGTTTTCCCTCGGGCCATCAATGCTGTTCTTCTCCTTCTGCCCTTTCAAACAAAGAAGTCGATTAACTTGCTGCATAATTTCACATCGACAGCATATTCGCATCGTTCTGAAGTCCAGAAATTTCTCCTTTTCTCGAGGTCTTCACGTGACCATCCTTCTTGCACAAACCCTTCTTCTTCACCAGATGTATTGATTGATCTCTCTTTTTTCATTTTCTTCTGCCCATAATCCCTATTCCTCACGTTCCTTCTTTGATTATCCGGCTGTTTGATAGGAAAGTACAAAAGGACAACGAAATTGTTGAAGAACAACCATTGGAGTCTTTTAGTTGTTTTTGCTGAAAAAAAATGTAACGGACCGTAGGATTGGTTTTGCTGTCTATAAGCGATGACAAAGGAAAAGAGAAAACCTTTCTCGCTCCTTTCCGTAACTCCAATATCCCAGTCGGACTTTGAATGTTTCTCAACTTTTCCTAATGACCATCAAGTTTTTATAATGGCAATAAACTGATAAGCGGATTTTTTCTTGAAATGAACCGTTCTGCGGGGAACTATGAGGCGAATCCTTCATAGGATTGATTATGGGATGCAACACCTCATGAATGTTACAGTAATACCATGGATTCAGATACAAGGAAGGACAAAGCCATTTAGTCCCATTAG